ATATGAATTCATCAGGCTATAGGTTGTCCAAAGATCGAAACACGATGGAGAAACAATATCGATCATGAATTGTTTAACGGAAGCCGCGGTTTCAGTGTTTTGGATATACGTAAGAACGATCCCTGAACCAAACACCGAATCGGATCACTCAAGTGTGAAGCCAAAACACGCACATGTCTCTTTACAGAAAAAAGGAGGGAGGAGAGACGATTTTTCAAGAGAAAGAAAAGAAAGGCACCAAAATAAAAGGGAAAGAAAAGAGAGGAAAGAAAGTTGGTCGGGCGTTTTTAAGCAGCATTCGCTCTGATGAATATATGCCCGAAAACTGGAATCTCAGTGTACTTTGTCCAGTCCACAAGAAGGAAGATCCCACCGTTTGCGCCAACTGTCGCGGAATAACCCTTCTTAACGCGTGATGTTCGGTCGACAGTTAACCAACCGAAAGACTAAGCGAATGTGTTCTTATGAAAGCTTCCACACAAACCGGCAGCTAGGAGCCATTCGGCTGGCGTATTACACCCGGATAAATCTGGGCAAATCCGGTGCCGGGTAACGCCGCATATTTAAGCTGTTTCAAAAGCTTTCATAAACATTATACGAAAATGTACTTCATTTTGTATTTAAAGGACGTACATACATATATAGGTACATTAGAGTGGTCCAAGTTTTGTATGGAAAAAAAATGGCATCGTAAAAAACGAAGCACTCTCTCAGTTCTTTCCTTTTGGGATTTGTAACATCTATACTTCACTTTCAACTTTTAACGGCTCTTATTCGAGGACATCGGTCTTATGACGCGGATTGCGTGAAAGGCTAGAGTCACCGTCAGCGAACTTATGGGGAATAATCAATGTGGCTTAGAACTGTAAAACCCAATACAAACCCTAGCCTTTCAATACCACAGGGTTTCAGCTACTAAGATATTCATTTAGGGAAGGAATTCAGATTAAAGCTTTGCGTACCAAAAAAAGAAAGTTCGCCGTACATCTTCGAATCTGAAGGCAAGGCAATTTTGAAAAAACAAAATTTTTCCGTCATATCTTCGGCACTTACAGTCGGATCTTGAAGTATGATATATGGATGTTCTTGTCTCGAGGAAAAACATTTTTTGTGCCTAAGTACATTGACTTCAAATACCCCGTTATAGTACTTACATACATACGAGATCTCATTTCTTATCACTCTAACGTACCACCCTAATATCAGTAAATTAAAGCTCGCTAAAAATCTTTAAACTTTTGCTAAGGAAGTATTTCGCTTATTCCTGAAGAACTATTTTAAAAAGCGGATTGCCGAATTTAGTTGCTACTGAAAAATGTAAAGAGGGCCTTAGGTTCGGCAAATTTTTGTTCGTAAACTACCTTGCAAAAATATTTCGACTCAGTGGTGTATGGCGAACTTTTTTTTTCATTTAAGGGGTGCAGCCTAATGTACATCTGTGCTCGGATAAATATCAAAATAAATACAAATAGAAAAGAAATTCATTTATAAAGCCGACGAAAATTAAAAATTTCTCAGTTAAGTCCTTAAATAACTAATTAACCCAATTTTCAAAAGCCAGTGATCCGTAGCGAATATTAAGAAAAAATTACATTCATTAAACCAAAAAATATGACAACAGTATGACAAGTGTCATACTCACCATACATATTCACTGGCCGACTACTTGTGTGTTCCATGATTTTTGTCTTTTTTCGAAACAAATACCCTGGTATAGAACAAGCGATAAAAACGAGCAAAGAAAGACGCACACACCAAAATTTCGAATCGTCAAAGGCAGCTAAACAATAAAATAATGAACAACAATTGGCAATTGTTTAGGACACGTTTGCCAAGCATTTCTCGTTTCACAACAAACCGATCGAAATGTGGAGAGAGTGAGTGGGAACATGATTTGGCCCATATTGTTATAAAGGAAAAATACTGCTTTGTCAACAGATAGACAGGCCAACCCCCCTTTCAATTCGTAGACATATACTGCCTGAGCAAAGCGACCCAACTAACCAATACAAGACACTTCAATAAAAAGTTGGATAAATAGATAGTGTTGGTCGATAATATGAAAATAATTTTACAAAAATGCTATAGTTGCTGGTTAATTGTGTGTACTGAAATTTTTTTATATTTTATTTTTGTGAAAAGTTAACTGATGTACAACAATGGCCTAAATAGGTGCTTGTGCGTGTGAAGCCAATTACAATAAGCTAAATACTTAGGCAGCTCTCACTCTCTTTCTTGTATTGTATGTTGAGCAGGAGGCGGATGCGGAGAAAGATGCGCAAAAACAATATGACGACCACCAACGTGTATGGCGTTTGATCTTGCCGACTGGCGAGTAGAGAATACAGGAAAGAAATATTTGTAAGTATATTTTTTACTTATGTAGTTACATGTATTTGCGCACACAAATGTATGAGTTTCCATATTATTTAGATTGCCTTTTTGTGAGTAGGCGGTAATTGAAGTCGAAATAGAGCTGATTATCAGCGAATATCTGAGTTAGTACTTCCTTATTTCACACGACCTCTCGAACACGTACGACTAGTAGGACGCTGCAGACGGCACAAAACACTGCACTTCGGACAGCGACTGGATGTCTTCTGATGTCGCCAGAACATCACCTGCGACGCGACGAGGCGAAAATGCTCTCCATAAAGGAGTATAACACAATGCTCTGCAAGCAATTCCTAGTAGCAGGGAGCCACATACGTGGACACCCGAACAGACATTTGCTTGTTGTAGAGCCCTCACCAAGGCAAGTCAGAAGAAATCTATATGAACTGACGGACGAAGAAGCAACCTCTGGATCCGTCAGCTTACCGACAGGCCGCGAGCGGCACTCACAGGGAGTCAGTCTCGAGTTATGTAGACTTCAGACCTGTGAATGCCGTTCTGCGCACACAATCACCTGACATCGACGAGACATAGACGGTGTTTCATCTGCCTCGGGCGACTAGAACCACAATAGCCCAACTTCGCTCTGGCTACTGCAGCAGGTTAAACTCATACCTGGGCAGATTAGATGCAAATGTGCCAAATGAGTATCCGGCATGCGGAGAGACACTCCCCGACTCGAAACTTCTCTTCGTATGCCCGGAAAACACAACACAGCTAACGCGTTTGTCCCTGTGGACCGACCCCATTGGCCTAATACTGTTGCCAATTGAAGCGCAGGAGCTTACGCCGGCACATAGCCGAATGGATAGGCACTTTATCGAATAGTGGGGACGTCATTGAAACTCTGATCCTTATATAACAAAGTTGGAACTCATGAAAAAGTGCTGGAGTATTTTTAATAGAGTCTGCAATACGGGTGTCCGGTAGTCATCCGGTTTGCCGTATATCCGGCCCAAATTTACCATTACACCGGATACAGGATATTGAGAAACTTCCCTGGTATCCGGTCGGCCGCGCAGTTGCTCAAAATTACTTTAAGTTAAAGGATGTTTGGTAGGAAAGCGTTCCATTAGTAAAATGATTAAAATTGATACTCAAAATAAATGCATCAGCTATTTTTTTTTTGTTTAGATGCCTTTTGAGTGAAAACAATGACATCTTGGAATCGGTAGGTAAATATTAGCCAGCTTTGACAAAGGCTTGGCCTTGGGCTTTTTTATTGTAATAGTAGCTGTCATCGATATCAATGAGGTACAACCACATTTTTCGTTAAACGACCAGTACTCAAACATAGCGAACAGAGAAGTGGCAAATCGATGACGGCTAGTGGAAGCTTCTTTTAAAGCATACTGTAAAAACAGCTTTGGTTATGACTCAAATTAAATTTAATTTTTAGCTGAGTAGGATGGGCACGGTTTGGTCTTTAGTAATACATTTATTTTGGTGACAACGAGGCAATGGACTTGTTATCCGCTGCCAGATTTTCGGTCACGCAGCACGCCGGATATTCGGTATCCGCTATCCGACCAAAACGCTACCCGTTACATCTCTAGTCTGCAGTCAGCTCAAGATAGATCTAGTTTCGACCTCCGATTATCGCAACATACGCGGAAACGAGGCCGCTAAATTCAATCGAGGGTTGGGTTAGCCTATTTTGGTTTATACGGGGATTTCACAAAGAACATTAGTCGGCACTCACTCGTTGTACGAATAAAGTTAAGGCTTAGTATTACACTTTGCATCAAATGCATTTTTTTCGAGTTCTAACAATTTCCTAGTCATTTTCTTCAACTGAGTTGCGATCATCCAAAAACTGGATAATAGCATAATTGATGTTATAGTGCGCCTTTGGAGTTACCTTCGTAACATGCCATGCATTCTTCGCCTTGCATCAGTCCCGCATAACCTGTTTGAATCATTTTCTGTAGGGCGGTGTTCTGTTAAAGACCAAACTAGAATCTTCCAAGTATACTAAATCCTTTTTACACGAATAACACTATGCTAGAATTTTATGACAATTTAAACCAGCCCGGACTTTGCTGATATTTTCTGAAAGTATACATATCCAGTAATAAAACACTCGATAGATTTGCAAAAGTTAGCTTGTGTTTTTACTTTATGTAAAGTTTTCATGTCCCGGCCGAAGTATTTTTTAAAAAAGTGGAAATATTGGTTAAAATAAATGTCTGAGCGAAATTAAAGGTTAAGGTTATTTTCGTAGAACATTTTAACCCATTAGCTCCCGCATGGAAAGGTCGTTTTGACCCTTACTTCAAGACCCTGCGCAAAAAGCAAATTTGAAAGTTCGTTAGAGGATTGATATATTTATTCTAGAAAATTATTCTTCGGAAAATTTTACTAGGAGTCTTCTCAGGCAAAAGCTTCATGCCAACAACGTAAAAATCTCTAAAAACTAAAATAAGGAAAATGAAATAAAGTACTAAAAATAAAATTTATTTCCGAAACTGATTTTATTAAATACTTAAGAATTTCTTTACCAAACAACGATTTATTTATTCATTATGGCTATGATGCCAGATATCTTAAACTAAATATAGAGATACATAGCTAAAATTTAACTTAAAATTAAAACGAACAGCAACAAATACAGTATTCAGTCTTGAACTCTACACGAACAAGTTTTTACATTTTATTTCTCTACAATATTAAACTCAAAACCTAAATAAGAATCATTGGGAACTTAAACGCTAAGAGGCACCGCTTTATTTTAACTAGTCAGCTGGATGTGTTGTCTTTCACTTTTAATCTATACTAAAGTAGTTTTCTTTAAGTCAGAGCATATAAATTTACAGATTTTACAGTTTTATCATTATGATTCCAAACAAAAACCTCAAACAGGTAAAAATTTCTACCCTGTCGATCTCTAAAATCCAAAATATGGGTAGGCCGCGGCGGCGCCAGCAGCCGACTTGTGTTCGCCCATACCCTGTGAGTAGCCACCCATGTGATTGGCGCCGGACGGGAAGAACGAGCCAGGGAAGTTGTAGGAGTCCCATGAGGACATGGCTGGATGATGCGAGCCCGAAGCAGCGGCCGAAGCGAATTGCGAGCGCAGCTGCTCAGCTGAAGTGGCAGTCGTGAAGCTATTGCTAGCGCCCAAGCCATAAGTCGACGCAGAAGAGGCATAAGCAGCTGACGAGGTTGACGAGGCAGCCGTGGTAGCTGAGGAGCTGCTGTTGACCGCTGTCGCGGCAGCTGTGGTGGTTGTGGTTGCTGCTGCCGATGACATGCCATAGCTAGTACTAGAGTTGGTGAAGTTGTTGCCGCTGCCAATATTATTGTTGCTGTTGCCAGCACTGACGTTACCAACATTTGCGCCAGCCTGATGCACTGGACTCAACGAAGCCGAACTTGTGCTGCTTGTCGGTGACATGGAAGCCACTGAGCCGCTTGAGTGACCATAGTTCTGATGCGGCTCGAAAACATTTGAAGCTGAAGCGGCAGCTACGGCGGCGACTTGTGTAGCGCTACTGCCGAACGTATTCCAAGCCTGGCTATACAAACCCATCTGATGTGAATGATTGTGTGACAACGCTGCGGCTGAGGCTGACATTGAGTGTGCAGCGGCAGCTGCAGCAGCGGCGGCACTTGAATGATGATGATGATGGTGATGTGAATGGTACTGCGAAGCAACGGCAGCAGCGCTAGCGAAACCCGCCGAAGCGAGACCACTCGAAGCGCCAGCGCCAAAGCCCGACACTTGTTGTGTGGTATTGAGTTGCTTGCGTAAGCGTGCGCGCCTATTTGAGAACCAAACTTGAACGCGTGCCTCAGTCAAGCCGGTGCTCTGTGCCAACTCCTCGCGTGTGTAGACATCTGGGTATTGTGTGCGCGCGAATATGCGCTCCAAAGCATCGATTTGATCATTCGAGAAGGTGGTGCGTGAGCGACGCTGCTTGCGTTTTAATTGTACGCCCGGCTCCGCATCGTCCTCGCTGTCATCGCCGGAACCATTTGACAGACCGCCTGCGCCCAAAATGCCATCGATGGAGTGCGCCGAGCTGCCCGACTCAGAGCGCGCGCCACCACGCAGCAAACGACTGATAGAACTAACTGATGGCGCCGTGTTTTTGTCGCACATGCCAGACTCGATGAGTTTAGCGCGTATTTCCCAGCTGAAAATGCCCGGACTGGCATTTTTCATCTCCTCAATTTTGGACTCAATATCGGGAGTGGCGACGCGTGGTTTGCTGCCGCCAATTACACCCGGACGTATGGAGCCGGTTTCCTGGTAACGATTTAGTATCTTCGAAACGCAGCCATGCGAAACGCGCAGCTGGCGAGAGATGACGCAAGGACGTACGCCGGCAGCGGCCATTTCGACAATCTGGCGGCGAATGTGATTGGGTAGTGGGCGTCCGTTGATGAAGACGCCGCCGAGTTGATTAACGCGTCCTTGACCTGCAAAACGAGGAAAATTAGTTTCGGTGGGAATATTTTGAGTTATAAGAGAAAATGAAATTTTGTGTAAAAGCCGGCTTGTGAGTAGAGCTAATTTGTTGTTACTGATTTGTGTTGTATTCAATTGGCTGGTCGGCGCTGATCAAAGCGCGCGCGCATTGCCATTACTTGCATTTATGTCAACTAATAATAAATCACACAATGCGCATATGGACTTGCGCATGCGCGCGGTCATCGGGCAGATGATTGATCTCTGTTTTAGGATAATAGACTGGGAAGCCGCGCAGGCAATGGAATACCTATTTGCATACGAAGCGCTTTGTGTGTGGGAACTATTTTTTTAAAATATGCGATGGTGCAAACAATGGCGCTTCAAAAATTCCTTTAAGGAATAAGTAGCTATGAGAAATTAAGCTTATTGCTTGCTGAAAACACTTATTAAAATCTCTTTCAAATCAACTCAACGCAACCCAATTCAATTGTGTAAACTCAATTAGCTTCAAACTAGTGCACATCTTGGGATTATGCGGCAACTATTGTCAAGGCAAAGCGCATGCGCATGGGCATTTGCCCAGACAAACTGTCTCGGTTTGTTTTCTTTGCCGTTTTTATGATTTTATTATTACTTTGTTGGCCATTTGAAAGAGGCTTGGGGAAGCCAAACAAAAATTGTAATTCACATTTATGCTATTGTGCTTGAGTAGGATTAGCTTAAGCGCACTTGAATGTGTGCGTGTGTTTGTGCCGCAGATGAGATCAGTTCGCACGATCGCATTCAAATGCTGCGATGAATGCAAATTTTACATTGTAAAATAATAATATTTGAATAATTTGTTAGAGACACAAAGGCGGCTAAGACTACAACAAAAGCGGCGAGCGTACAGAAACTGGAAAAATTATTAACAAATGCCAATTGCTGTGGTTATTGCGCGCGCGCAAGTGAAATTTCGTATAGAGTTGTTTATGCAACGTGCCAGAAAAGGCATGGCAAACATGCGCGCACAAACAAACGTACATAACATAAAAAAGGCGACTTTAAATTGCATTTGAATATAGAAATTATGCAGCAGAGTGAAATCAAACGAAAACGAAATGGAAATGGAAATTACTTAAACCGACAGGCAAGATCTAAAAGCATTTAGCCAGCTGTGAGGCTGTGCGGCTGTGAGTTAATAACAATAAAAAAAAAAACCTGTCGGAAAAAATATAAAAATAAAGTACGAGCAACGCGCGCAGCAGATGCAGTGATCATGTCAGAGGATCACTCAAACTAACTGAGCGCCTGCCAACGGCTGAGGAACTGACGCGTGAAGAAGGAAGCCCGCTTGCAAGGTGGGTCTAATAACTCAAGCGCGGCTTGGCAGACAGGCAGGCAAGCAAGTGGCTGGCTGTGTCTGCACCTCACTAAGCGCTTCGCTTGCCTCCATAAGCAGCACAAGCAAATGTAACTAATAGGCCAGCCTCTCAACAAAATACAGACGCAGTCATCAGCCATGGCCGCCGCCAACACCGCCACTTGAGCAGCTCAAAAATTAAAGCAAAGCGTCGGAATATTTTGTTCTTTCACACTTCACTCCAGCTGTGCGAGCTAATAAAATTCCTTTAGCAGAAGAGCTACGAGAAAAAAGTAAAACAAAAAATCAGGGAACGCAGAGAATCCAAAGAAGGCAGCATAAGCGGCAAAAATATTAATACAGCAGCAAAATATTAAATAAAAAATTTATAGCGAAAGCAATGCGGAAAAATATGTTTAAGCGCATGCGCACACTGATTCGTACGCCGCTAAGAACATGTTGCCACCAGAGGCTCCCTCCACCAGCAGCCCGATGACACCGCGCGCTCACCCAACACTCTACAACCGACTGGCTAGCAAGCTGACGGTGTTGATGAACGTGCTGCCACCACAGCCAACAGATCAGCGAAGCAGAAAAGGCCAGGCCACCAAAGGGTGTAGGAGATCATACATTGGAAGTGGCACTGATGGCGGCGGCAAAAGAGCCCGCGATCTGAAGATCAAAGACAATGCCGACGCGCCAAAACGTCTGCGTTGTACGCGCAAAGAACAACGTACAAAATACAAAAAAAAAAAAACAAACAAACGCGCATGCTAAAGCTCAAGAAAGCTACAAACGAAGGGAAGCAGAAAGGAGGCTTGCGAGGCTGAAGCTGACAGCGCGGCGTTGATGGTGCACGGAGGCACAGCAGCCGTACGGCACAGCTGTGTTTTTGAAGCGCGCGCGCAACTGTGCTGTAGTCGTAACTACTTCTTTTTCCTCTTCTATTCTTCTTTTGCTCTTCTTGGTACGCTACGCTGCTTTGACTGCTGCTGCTGTTGCTGCTTTTGTTGGTTGTTGTTGCTATTGCTGCGATCACAATCAATAAGCCACAAAGCTGATCATGATTATTGGAATTTTAGTTGGTTGCTTCGTTGCGCTCGACAAGCGACGCGCCCCCACCGCGCACCGAACGTTAGTTAAGGAAGCGGTGAAATAAAACCTGACCGGCTGGATGACTTACTAGACGGACTGACTGACGAACATTGCTGCCTGACAGGTATCTACATACATTTTGAGCTGGAGGCGAACGCTTGCCTTGCTGTTTGTTGTGCTGCTGCTTGGAAACTGAATTGGAGCGCATTTGCTGACTTTGATTTCTTTTTACTTACATAAACATTTCTTTGCTATGAAATTTTCGTTTTCTTTAAATGAAAATCAAAGACTTATAAGCTGCTTGCTCGCCGTTGTTATAGAAAATTTACCTTCTTGAAAGCCATGTAGATGCAATGACTAGACGAAATTTTGCCAAAGTCAAATGGGCAAAGGCTTTTTTGCTTTCTGTTGTTTTTATTATTGCTACGTGCATACATTCACTTGTACGCAATGAGTTGTGAAATAATAATGAAAATTAGTTAAAAATTGTTTATAATTGGGAATTGATGTTCACACTAGACCGTTTGGCGGCATTGCAGCGGCGCGCATGCGCGTATACTTTGCGATAGAGATAGAGCGAAAGGAGGAAAAAGTAATCTACATTGAGCATTGTACCTATGAGAAATACTGAGGCATGTGTAGTTGAAAGAACTGTTTTCTCAGTGTTTTAAAATTGTAAAAGAAAATATCGTCACTAGACACGAATAAAGGCGCAAGCTCATATTGCATTACACAAAATATTTTTAACCATTTTCAAATTTAAATTACTACGATAATATTAAAATCTTAAAGTTTGTGAGTCAGACTTTTTTTCAACAAAACGCAAATTTTTAGTACTAAATTCAAATTAGAAAAAAATTACAAAAATTTTAAGTTTTAATTTTACGAAAAATATACTAATGATTACTTGTTAATTAAGGTTTTATGTAGGTACCAAAAAAAAACAAATTAAATTTTTTGGCTAAAATTTAAATACAATTTACATACATTTCGAAAATAATTTGGCTAATTTTGCCAGAAAGGTTTCAATTTCAGTTTTTTTTCTGAAATTTTAATTTTACAAAAATTTGACTGATGATATTTTATGAATCCCCTAAATGGAATATAGATGATTTAGATATAAAAAAATTAAAAATTAAAAAAAAAAAATCCAATTTAAACATCTTTAATTTCTTTTTTTAATTTATAGCTAAAATTTAAATAGAATCCGACGTTTCTAAAAAATTTTGCTAATGCTTCCACAAATATTTCGAAAATTTTTTATTTTTATTTTTTTAATTTGTTAGAAAGTTCCCTCGTTCTGTTTCAGCATTAGTTAACTTGTTAATAAGAAATCTTACATTTAATAAAGACTAAAAAATAAAAATTTGCAAAACCTAATTTCTTTGTTTATTCAATTCTTCTAATCAAAATCGGTCCAGACTATGCAGCAAGCTCGACAACAGTTTGAACCATTTAAACTTTCTATCAATCGAATGGCTCTAGCTTTTGGTCAGTATGATTGATCATCTAGGCCCTCTACCCTTATCAAGATATAAGTTATAGGAAGCGGGAGCCAATAACTACACCACATAAATATTTTGGAAGCAAAGTAGTGTTTAGCATCAACACTAGCAAGCATAAGATACCGGACTGATTTAGGCCAAAGGTAAGGGGAGCGGGTCTCCAGTTAAAGCAAAGCACGAAGTAACTCGGAGTAATGCTGTATAACAAATTTTCATGGCAGCCTAACTGGGAGAAAATGTCGAAGAAAGCCTCGGCTGCGCTCAAATCGTGTGAATGCAAAAAGATATGGGGCTGCAATTTTGATCTATCACTGATAAAAATCTTTTATTAGTTATTTCTAGACGTAAATCGTCGGGCTGATATTATTCCAAGGGTTACGAGTGTCTGGCGCACAGCAATGAAGAAGAACAGAGGCACATACCGGCATCTTTTGCCAGTGGAACTGATGGGCAATGGTACATCGTTCAACAGTACCGCCAGGCTTAAGGTTACGGTACAGTTTATGCGCGGGTTCCACGACCACAGTATTTAGTATATCGTCGACACTCTTTGAATAGATCGGCCGGCGCTTTGAAGCGGAATTGTATTTTAGAGCGAATATCAAAGCCATTATTGGGTTTGAAGGGTGGCGAAGTGATATGAGAGTGGCAACCTCAGTGTCTGTGTATGCAGATGGGTCCGTAATGGACAAAGGAGTAGACGCTACGTGCTACATTAAAAGTTTTCAATATATGTACAATTTGTTATGGCGGCCGCTGTAGCCGAGTGGTTAGACGTGTGTACTGCGACTCCGCAGGACCTGCGCTCGATCCTCTGAGAGTATTTCTGTCCTGAAAAAGCTTCTCATAAAACCATTTGCCTTTTGGAGGCGGCGTGAAATTGTTTGTTGCCCCATTTTTTGTATTGACATTAGATGCATAACATAAATTGGAGCAGAAGCTCGGTCGAGCGCTTTGCAAAAGATTAAGCGCCCAATATTTATTTATTTTAATTTTTTATAAATATTTAGTTAGTAAGATTTTTTTTTAATAACTTAAATTGATTTCTCTTTACGATATCGACGGCTGAGTGAAAACGCCTTTTCTCAGCAAATGGTTTAAAAAAGCCCTATCTCAGCTGCCGATATATTGAATTTATATTGAGATAGGGCGTTTTCAACCAAATTCTGAAACCACCATTGTTTTCAAATCGGCAGCCGAGATAGCGCGATCCTCCAGTCAGCCGACGAATTGTAGACGAAATCGATTTGTTAATTAGAATATTACATTTTTTTTTTCAACTTGAAAGTAAAAAAATTTGTATAAGAGTTCTTTATACATATAACCAAAAGTTAAATCTACCTCTCTCACAGCCATATTTTTTTGTTTTTAATAATCATAAAAAATCGCATAATTACCTTGGAAGGGATATCCAGCGAAATACGGTGTCATATTCAAAGTTGAGACTGTCATTTTGACGTATTCCAGAACTGCGTGTTTGCGACGTAGAAACTGTTTACCAGAGTGACTGGATTTCCAACGTAAGAAGGAAGCTTAGCGCTCAAACGTTTATTCGTAAATTGTTATTCGAAAGCTTGCGGAATTTTGCTTTCAGCTTTTTAAAGTTTATTAGAACTTAGTTTTTTTCCATTTGCGCCTTTTTGGCTACGCACTTTACACTTTTCCAAAAAAAAATAATAAGCAGCGATTGTATATTTAAATGTTTCTTCGCGTTTGCTATCTTTTTTGTTGTTGCTTTAGCGCGACGCTTAATCAAGCGATTCGTTCGATTTAATTCGTCAAATAGAACACGTCACGTTTGCTGCCCAAATGAGCGTTAATATCGATTATCTTCACTAGATTTTTCAAAACGAACCAACTAACTGGACGAATACGACATTATTATTTTTGTTTGTTCTTAAAGTTTATGTATACTTTGATTTGTTTTTGATAGTCTTTTTTTCACTGCAACTACTTCTATATTTGTTTTACCACAGAGAGAGAGAGCCTCCGTTCGCTGGTATGAATATATATTCGCTGAAATCTCTACACCACCAAGTGTGTGACTCGTTCGATTGTCAGCTTGAAACTGATTTTGAAACGGTCTATCGTAACACCAGCACACCTTTTTGAGATGCTCTGGCGTTGAGCGGCCAAAAGACGGACGAGAATTGGAAACAGCAACAACGGCCACAAACGTTATGATTGTGTTGGAGTTGAAACAGGTAAGCGCAAGACAAGAAATCAGAAAAACGTGCAGTGTCGTAAGGTCGTGAGCGCGCAAGCGGGTAAAGTGTAAGCAAGTGAGAGTGAGTGTGTGAGCGAGCGAGTGAGCAAATGTGTGTGCGCAATTGAATGCGTGGTGTGCAACAAACCACCCCAACAAGTCAACTGCAATGCCAGAATAAAAAAGTAGAAGTAGCAAAAACAAAAGCAAACTCTGAAATGCATTCGTTGCGCAGCTCTCAGAGTTGCTGCAGTTGTTGTTGCGCCTGTGTACTCTATGTACACATGTAAACGATCGTTGCGTGCACCCACCCATTTCATAGTGACGCTCTCGCCGTCGAGGGTGTGTGTGTGCGCTTAAATTTACATTTCTCGCTTGTATGGAATTGTGTGCATGTGTGTGTGTGTGAAACGCTACAAAAACAAACACTCACCGGCCAATTGGTGCGGTCTGATGGCCAAGCATTTGTTTTTGCTCACATACAGTTAGGCGAAAAAGAGCGCGCACGATCGCTACTGGGCTGGCGCGCTCCTCGCACCACAATGGCTGCTCTGCCATGGAAATTTCAATAGCGATCCGGCTCATAAGCCACGCCTCATTTTTAGTTTTTTTTTTCTATATACTGTACATACAAGGTATTTTTGTTGTTTTCTTAGTTGTGTGTAGTATATATGTATCTACATAGATAGCATAACTGTTAGCTCCTTCATTGCCAGACTTACTGGTGGCAGCTGTCTTGCGTTTTTGTTGCTCTGATTTTTATTTATTTATTTTTTTTATTTTACTTTTCCAACAAAAAAATTGTTGTTGCTGCTCGTTCGTTGAAAAATGGGTGGCGTAAAAAAGGAATGCCTGCGCATTTGCATATGCCGGCAAATCAAGTTTGCGCAAATAAAACTAGTAGGTACAAAAGCATTGCTCTATTCTGCTACAAACATCGATACCTACTCGTACATACATACATATTTACATTGATGCCCGCATACAACCCACACTCCGCGCCACCTCACTCATATTATTGTCGATCGCAAGCAGAGAGCAGTGGAAATTGAGAAAATCTTTTTCAGCAAATTTGCTACAGTTGCTTAACGTTTTGCCCGTTCTTTTGATGTTGAGCCGCCAATATTTTGATTTAATTTTAATATTCCATTTTGCTGTTATTTATCGCCTCACTGCTGGCGTTTGTGTAACGTTCGTATTCTATTGCTTTTCCTCTTTTCCCTTGCTATCGATATGAAATATTGTAATCTATTCTGATTAGCTACTGCCGCGCAATGGATATGCCGCAGCACCGCTAACTTGGTTAACTAGTAATTGTGGCGATTGATTTCATAAAGAGGCTCCTTGGGAAATCCTCACGGATGTTAAGCAGGTTTTGTTTGGACTGCATTGGTTTACATATTAGTCACAAGACTTTTGGAAGCGTGTGAAATTCAATTCAAGATCATATTCAAAGTTAGTCCTAGAAAAGCTGTTGTTGCTCAGGCTAAGTAGAATAAGATTTATGAAAGTAGAAGCTTACTTCTTTTTAGTGCATTTAAACACAATTTGTGCAGAAAACATAAATAGGAAATTTTTGGGTGTTAAAGAGCTCAGTTGTTCGCTTCATAACCAATATTATCAAAGGCTTAACTGCTTTTCTTGCCTTATTGCCTATAGTTGGACTTACTTTCGCCAGCCTAGCCGTTTGAACCAAGGTTTTAAATTCACTGTAGTACTCTTTAAAGAAAGCTCTTTTCGCTGATAGAATTTGCTGCTTAGATTTTCTTTGCGTGCAACGATAGCATTCTAAATCGATCTCAGTATTAATTTTACCAGGTTCCCTGTCCCCATACAATGCAACTTTTTTCATGGGATCGCAAAGTTGCAGTCACAATTGACAGCCGAAATATTTAGCAACCGACTCTCAATCCTGCTTAATCAAGTAACTCCTCATCGCTTGGACATAAATGTGCAGTGGGACTCCATCTCCCAATCCTTTCGTACCGCTGCGGAAGAGGTTGTTGGTTACTACCAACCGCGCACAAACAACTGGTATTACGAAGAGTGCAGCCAATGGCGACACGAGCGACAATTGAGCGATACCAGGAGAAAAGGAGGGAAGATAGACGCCTTTTCCAGGGAAAGAAAAATAGGCAGAAAGGAGTGAGTGCGAAGAGCTTGAGATGCTGGCAGATAGGAATGTGGCTCGTAAATTCTATCAGAAAATAAGTCAGCAATCAAATGGTTTTAAGATCGGGGCTAGCTCCTGCAAAGATGAAGATGGAAATCAGGTAAAGATGTCCAGAGTAAACTTGAGATATGGAGGGAGCACTTTTCAATGGTTTTGAATGGCGACACAGGTGGCGCGTTTGATGAAGGAAAACCCGAACCAATGTATAGGGACGAAGCTCACGTCCCTTAACTCGACCAAGACGAGGTGAGAACAGCAATAAAGCGGTTTAAGAACAACAAGGCCCCCGGAGCCGACGGTATACCGGCTGAGCTATTCAAAGCCGGAGTCGAAGCTTTTCAGTAGAATTTGGCCTGATGAATGCATGCCCGAAGACTGGCATCTCAGTGTACTTTGCCCAATCCTCAAGAAGGGAGATCCCGCCGTTTGCGTCAGTCAGCGCGGAATAAGCCTTCTTAATATTGCATACAAGTCCTGTCGACGATACTGTGTGAAAGACCGAAGCCGTTCACGAACCAGCTCATTGGACCTTATCAGTGTGGCTTCAGACCTGGTAAGTCCACCATTGACCAGATTTTCACAGCACTTCAAATCATGGAGAAGACACTGGATGAGCAAATCGACACACACCATCTTTTTGTGGATTTTAAAGCTGCTTTTGATAGCACGAAGAGGAGCTGCCTGTACGACGCCATGTCCAAATTTGGGATCCCCCCAAAACTAATACGTAGAGTTATGTTGAGCACAACATTCAGCTCCGTCCAAATTGGGAAGGATCTCTCCGCGCCGTTTGAGACCAAACGAGGTTTTAGACAAAGCGATTAATAAGAGCTGCCAGTCTGAACCGCAGCGGCACCATATAAAGCAAAAGAACGATGCTGCTGGCGTATGCAAACGATACCGATATCGCAGGTCTGAAACAAAGGAACGTAACCGCAGCATTTTCCAGTTTAGAAAAATAAGCTAAAATGGTTGGTCAAGCGGTGAACGAGGGCAAGACAAAGTACCTCCTGGCAACATAAAAAGAGTCCACGCGTTTCGGGACACTTGTCACTGTTGACAGATATAAGTATATTTGAAGTAGTGAAGGACTTCGTCTACCTAGGATTTGCAGGTGGATAGCCAGGCTACTTCATTCAAGGATAGCCGAAACCGACATCGGAAAAAGCATGGTACAGCTAAAAACTGCAAAAGGTTGCCCGCAGGGAGGAGTTTTATCCCCTCTCCAGTGGAGCTTAGTTGTCAAGACTATGCGGATGACATTGTGATTATCGCTAGAGGTAAGTTCGTGAGCACTCTCAGTGATATAGTGTAAAGGGAACTAGCCGACTACCTACGATTTTGAAAAAAAACTCGTGTTTTGCCTATAGTGCTGCACTCAAGGCCCAATCATCATTTGAGGTCAAGTCATCCTTGGTTTTTGAGTGCATTGAAAAGCTCTACGGCCTGACGGAGTACAATGACATCCAATTAACCTGGGCACCAGGCCACATAGGAGTTGCGGGCAACGAGGAAGCGGACCGACTAGCTAGAATGGCGGCCGCCTCGTCGCCTATAAGGCCTGCGCCCTTCCCAGTGATTGCACCTAGCACGACCACGGAACAGCTCAGTAAAAAAGGAACAGGCTAAGAAATCAACACTGGCGTAACACTACAGGTACAACCTTACGAGGTACAGGGCAATTATTAATATCTCCAAAGGAAAGTTAAATATAATAACAGGTTTTCTGACGGGTCACTGTAGACTGAGAGGTCACCTGCATAGGCTAGGGATCTGGTCAAACGACCTATGTCGTTTCTGCGATGTGACTGAGGAGACTCCTGTGCACCTGTGTCGCGAGTGTGAGGCGGTAGCGAAAAGACGGGAAAGGTACCTAGGCGAATTCTGGCCAAGTAACATATTAATACAATCGCTAACCTCTGGGGATCTCTTCAAATTTTTGAGTTCTATAGGATTACATGAGGTACTGTAAATAGTTGAGGGCACAATAGATCTCTTGATCGCAGTACATACCTCTATCTATCTTTTCTAAAAGCATTAATTCAAAATAAAATTGGCAGTTTTTATGATTACAAAACTATGGTACCAGTATTTTACAGTGTTCAAGGATCATTTTCAAGTTTTCCTAGATACACATTTAAATAAATAGGAATATTTCTTTTATACCACATTAATGGAAATTTACCGAGAGTGGATTACAGATGTAACCAAAGCAATGATTGCCACACTAGTTAACTAATTGATTAGTTTTGTTTGTTATCTCAAAATTTATATGAAGATATGTAATAGAAAGAATCCACATAGGCATATATACATACATATTACATACATACATATACATATAAGTGATTGTCTTCTACACCACTCCAATGCAGCACCTTTATGGCTTCTAGATTGTAAATACCAAACACTCGGCTTCTAAACTTTTGCTCAACCCCTTCAAAATACAGTTTATCACTACATACATACATATGTATTTGAATATTACTAATTTGACATTGAGTTATTGCGTTCGTAGCAACAATGCCATGGCGCGTGAGTTCATCATTTTCACACAAATAAGCCCATGAAAATGGACATACATATGTACATATGCTGAGGGAAACTAACAAATACTGTATTGATATATGTATGTACATATGTATTGAGTGTGACAAATTCTATTA